TAATTCTCTCTGTCAGTCTCTATCTTCTCCGCCTTATTCTCGCTCTTACTCTCATAGGTTATAGGATCAGACTTAGAAATCTCTAGGAAATGGTAATAAAAAGGAGCCACATATGGCATCAATATTCCTATGCAGCAGTGCTGCATGTTATCCTCCACAGCATCAGACACAGGTAGGAGACACCAGGGTGACATGCTCTCTTGAACAAAGGCTTAGCAGATGGCATTTATTATGACCACAAGAGAAACGACAGACATTCATACAGATTCAATATATACCAAATTGGACAGAAAACAAGTTGAATGCATTAGTTGACATGTTTTATAAGTTAGAGCATCCATAATATTTATCTCTGCCATTCAGGTAACAAACTTGTTCTCCTTGTTTGAGGGGGAAGGACGGAGGTGAAGAAAGAGAAGAGAATCATCCTCTGGAGCACTCTGGGAATGCATAAGCCTGTCACTCCTCAATGTCACATGAGTTTTCCATCCCAACCACATTACCCACTTCCTCTGGCAAGCAACTCTATTTACTTTGTGGCCAAACTCCTACGTACTGTATTCCTTTTGGCATTACTCATGACTTCACTGCCAAAACCATCTGCCATGTATTCATATTACCATTTGCCAAAAATTACAATGAAAATCTATTTGATATAGAGCGTTATGATGTTGTCACAACACCTCAGAGCGCTTCACAGGATTTACTTTGAAGAGTATTGACTGCATAGTTTGTAGGTTAATGCAGCAGCCAATTTGCACACAGCAATATCTCACAAACAGCCATGAAGGGAATGAACAATTTTATTTGGGGATTGCTGGCCAGGACACCAGGAGAAAATCCTTTCTTTTTTCAAATACTGCACCTGGGATCTTTAACATCCACCAGATCGGGCAGACGAGACCTTGGTTTAATGTCTCACCCAAAAGGCGGGTCTACAGTGTGCTGCTGTAGAAGTGTGTTCATCTTACATTCTGGAAAAAACCTTCATGTATTTGAAAGGCAGTGAGCACAACACGAGTTCTTACAAGTTCCTTAGCATGGAGATGAAAATTAACTTTTACCTCCCAAGTTTTCTAAACAGAAAGTCAAAAATAAACCAAGTGTGCCGAAAGTAAGGATAATATTTTTTATAAGTAATGCCAATGAAAACATTCACTTTGTAATACTTACAAATATTTTTCCTACATGGGAGATGATTCTTCAAATAATGTTTAATTATTGTTAACACAGTAGCTGATTAAATAATACATCAATTGCACAGTAGTGAGTAATGCTGTTGTTATACTACAACATACATTTATTTGAAATAGTGTGTGGTCTCAGTTTACCATCACATTGTCAATGGAACTTCAGTTTAAGATTTAATGAAAGCTTTAACTCTAATTGTTAGACTGATTACAATAAATAATGTAATTATATGGATTTGACTGAAGAAAACTGCTCAATATTAAAGATTGAAGGTAACTGATCCAGGAGTGAAGACTAGGCGAGGAAATAAGATTGAAAAGATTAAGAGCCTCCATAAATTGATAGATAGGTGAACCAGGATGGACAGACGAATTGTTCCACGTATCATTAACCTTTCTTATTTAACGGTGACAAAGCAGCGATGTGTAGAAATTCCTGCAGAAGCTCCAGGAAGGGGAGGAGAAATCAGATTTTTATGCTTCCATTTCATGTGAATATTTTTCATGCATTTTATTTATGCTTCCAACAAAACTTCATCTGCTTTAATCTATTATTAGTCATATATTCAGGGCAGGCAAGGTCGCTTGTGGTTTATATGTAATAATGCAGGAAAATGGAATGCCAGAATGCACATCATCTCAGAATACAACCTAATAACATTTCCCATCATTCAAAGCTGGAATAAGATGTCTCTGGCTTACACTGTGAACAAATCATTTTTTATATACACATATATTTTTCTTGTTTACCTACAAAAACACAAAGTTACCACAATTTACAGTAAATCCTGAGATGTGCTTCGAGACGTATTCTTGATGTGAAAGGCACTATATCAAAAGGCAAAATTATTATTATTATATGTATGATGTAGTGGTGAGCAATCTTGCACCAAATTATATTTATAATATCCATGATTAAAACTGAGAATTGCCTTTTGTATACACGGACTTATGATTGGAGAGAGCAGAAAAGCCAGCTGAAGCCTTCAGGTTCCCTGATGGAGTGGCACATTTATCGGATCATCTCTATAAAGCAAAAAGAACGAGTGCTGCTTTAGACAACTTGTAAACCAAGTTGTGCGATGAAAATATCCTGTGTCAAAAAATGTACCATTTACCGCAATGCATTTAACCAGCATCGACTGCACACAGTACAGGCTTGAGGACCTGACGTTTCCATGGTTTTTAAAATGAAACATTAATGTGCTTTATGTCCCCAGTAATGGTTAGTGTTAAACAAACAATATTTTCACCATAAACCGCAGTTCAAGATTCCTTCAAAAAGCCCAGCAATTTCTCATTGTAAACAAGGAGATTTGATTGCAGACCCGGTCTGGTGTCATTGATCGGGATCTCTACAGCCAGCATTCGGCTTAGTCCAGTAATCCAGAACTGTACTTTTATTTTAATCCTGTTCCTATGAAGTTTCACTGTGGAAGAACAGAGTAGTTTCCCTTTACACTCCTGATCCTTCTAACTCTTCAAGAATGTAGTATTCTCAGAAAGTAATTCCACCAGTTTGCATGAACAGATGTTCCTATCTTTAATAAAAATAACAAAAATAACCATTAAAATGAATGGAAACCATGAATGAGTGTTTAGAGTATGAGCCCTGTTTCAAATGGTTGGCTGTGATAAAACTGCCTAAGAACATTAAACTGTAATAACATAACAATATTAATAATCTTTGCGTTTTATATAGTGCTTTATCACATCGTCAAGACGTCTCAAAGCACTTCTCAGAATATACTGCAAAGTGAATTGACTGTATATTTTTGTGGGCGATCGCCCAATCTTTAAGATAACATTGACAAGTGATTCAAGTAGGAGTCCGTTTGGAATGTCGACCACTTTCAGATCAAAGTTTCCTACTGGCAATGAGGTATAAACTTTGGTATTAGAACAGGATTCTTCTGTTTGCAAAGTTCAGTGACATGGTAAACCGTGCGGTTACTGCAATCGTTCAGTTAGTGTGATCATTTTCAGAATTAACAAATGTTTCCAAGTTTAAAACCGCCAGATTGCATGATTAACTCCGTACGTGAAAGCAGTTTGTGTAATCAATTCCAGACCAATTAAACAGCAAAGCCACAAAGCGGCTTTTGTTCACCGTAATGCAATTGGAACGCTGTTACCACCCAAAAAGGGCAGGCGTGATAGTAAGAAACAAATGTATAGATTTTTCCAGTAATTTAACTTACTTGCTACTACACTGCATGATATCAAGCTCGGAGTCTCGAGAAATGGCTCATTTAGTCAATGTTATTGGATAGTATCAAAACCAGTCATTTGAAACAGGGCTCATACTTTAAAGCACTCACAAATGTTACTTAACCCTCTGTTGAGTTTTTAGCAGTGGATTTCCTTGGTACTGTGTCTTTAGAAATCCACAATTATTAAGATATTGTACCTGAGAAAGCAAAAATGATTATGAAGGAGGGAATTAAAAATTATCGTCAACGCTATTGGTCCATGTATCATTGAAAGTGCATTTCAATTTACCTACTAATAAAAACAGAAGTTGCTGGGAACACTCTGCAGGTCAGGCAGCATCTCCGGAGAGATGCCACTTTCCTCTCTCCATAGATGCTGCCTGATCCGCTGAGTGTTCTTAGCGACTTCTTTTTTTATTTTGGATTTCCAGCATTTGCAGTTATTTTGCTTTTTGTAGAATTTACTCACCTGTAATCCTGTAATTGAAATACTTTTTTATTTCTACTGTGTGACCATCAGAAACCATTAGGCACTGAATTGCTTTTGTACCTCTGCACATTTATACAATCCTAAAAGAATCAGCAGATCATTCAACCCATTGTGTGCAGTGGAGTTATGTGCTCTCACCCCATTCAAAGCTCTCTCCTCATAACTTTTTACATCTGCAACAGAATCATAAACTTTTAGCACAAGGGACTTTATAATTTATTATTTTAGGATGAGTTGATGAGACGTGACCTCTTTCCCGATTAGGGATTTCAAAGGAAATGAACTGGAAGGGATAGGGAGCACATTGGCAGAGCCACTAAGTCAACCCATTTCTTTTGATACTTGAATACAATCTCCCATCAGACTTGGACCTTGGATAAGTCAAGTCTTTCAAAGATTTGTCCACCACTGAAGTGCCCAAGAATTGGCTAACAGCAGTTTTGCTCTACTAATGAGATGTTATTACCTGCAGTTTTTTTTCAAAAAAATCACTTTAAAATTCATTGTACAAACACTAAAAGTGGTTGTACCACTCAAAGTGCCATTTATAGTCATTGGATAGAGTGATAGTCAAGTGCTTCAAGATGCCGCCCAGTGTGAAGGGCGCTATATAAAGGTAAATTGTTGTTGGTTGATAGTGGTTTTCTGGTAAAATTAGTACTAGTCCCAATAGGGTATTGGATAGAGCATTTGCCTCGCAAGCGAGAGGACCTGGGTTCGATTCCCAGGTTGGCAAAACATTAGGCAAATTTCCTTACTTCACACACCTCCGCTTACCTAGAGGTAAGTAGGAACCCAGTTGTTAGTCGATTGGCGAATTGCTTTTCTGGGGATCATAATCCCTTCAAAAAAAATAATAATTTGGTCACTCAATCCACGATTGTTTGTGGGACACTGCTGTGTGCAGTTGGCTGCCGTGTTTCACCCACAAAATATACAGTCAATTCAATTTACAGTATATTCTATAAAGCACTTTGAGATGTCTCGAAGACGTGATAAGGCACTATATCGAATGCAAGGATTATTATTATCGAGATCCTCCCCTTTGCTTTTGCAGGAATTTACAGGCTGCTGCTCGATCCTATTAAGACACCCAATTCACACGACTGTATCTATTCTTGTTTTTATTACAGCAAGTGTAGCACATCACACAACGGAATGCAAAGTAACGAAGCTGCAATAACAGTACTTCAACGTACAAACAAGTTAGACTCTGGCAAAGGTGTGTTGTCAGAATGAACAGGTTCTAAAGGGGAAATCTACACAGATTCACCCAAGTCTATTTATCCACCAACTTCATGGATGTCAGGAAACTGTTTTCAGGAGTAATTCTGCCATTCCAATTGGGAAGGAACACTTAGATTCCACTCAGAACATTTTGAGGACCTGAAAGTGGTTTTTCAGAGAGGGAGGCTGATTCTCAAAGTGAAGTTGGTCTGTTACGTTTGCACCGAGCTCTCTAAGGAGCCGGACGAATTTCTCGTGTTCCTTCCCAATCCAAGCCCTCATGCTGTCCCTCACTTGGTAAGGAGTAACGTGAGTTTGCACAGGGATCCCAGTCCGAGCCAACTCCTGCAGGACCTCAGGGCTGGTAACCCACGTGTTGCTTCCCCCGGCATGGCCTCCGTCCAACCAGTACACTTGGCTGATGGTCTGAATGAAGGCTGCCAGCTCCTCGTCCTTCTGGGCTTCACTCAGCTCGTGCAGGAGCTGGTTGAGAACCACGCAGCCCTTACTGAACCCGATCAGGATTGTCCTGAGTGGTGCATCACCGCCTTTCTCACGCGCTCTCCCGGTATCCGTCCCGCTCGGTGCTGCTATCCCGTTTGGGGTCTGAGCGGAGGTGTTGGCTCCAGGCTGGGCTGGGGCTGTGGACACTCTCCGGTCGGTCCGCCCAGTACACAGGAGGCTGCGGCTCTGCTTGGAAGCATTGCTCAGCAGTGCGCGGAGGTGTCCCAAGGCACCGTAGTCCGGGCTGTGCTTGGGCGCCCCGAACAGATCGCTCTCCACAAAGTTGTCGTAGCAGCTGAACTTGTGCAGGTGCATCCGGGAAGCCTTCACAATCCAGACGTGGCTGCTGGGGAATCTCCGCAGGAGCAGGGCAGCCGTGTCCTCCAGGCTCCATTGCTGCCAGCGGGCATTCTCTGCGTGGCGGGCCATCAGCTCCCGGTAATTCTACACTCAACAGGAAATCAATAAGCAGAATGGCCAGAAATTAAAACATATTTGTAGCCCAAAGTCCATCAAATATTAGTAATAATAATAACACTTGCACTTGATAAAACTTCCACCACTATTAAGCACTCCCAAGATGCTGGCCTGCGTGAGGGATGCTATGTAAATGCAAGCTGTTGTTCTCTGAAACCCCCATATTCCTCGACAAGACACATCTGACCAAGTGGATACTCCTAACAATTCTCTCTGTGCGGAAAAAAAAAGTTTGTCTAATCCCATAGCCCCTACCTCTCTCCACCTCTCTCCCTCGCTCTCCGTCAGAAACTTGAAGATGTGATAAGGTGCTATATCAAATGCAAGGATAATTATTATTATTATTATTACTATCATCATCACAACCTTTCCTCCCCTTCCTCCCTACAGAAACCTAGCATGGTTATGGGCCTGGTGTTGGCGGTGGGGGAGGGGGTGATAATCAAAATAATCTACAATATTTTGTGAGCTTTCCTCTACCATCACTGAATCATATCATTACAACAACAACAACAAGATTGCATTTATAGAGCGCCTTTCACGTCGGGAGGACGTCCCAAGGCGCTGGATTGTTGGGTCGGGACCCGAGCAGTGGGGAACGCAATTAAGAACGCAATTAAATAATATTGTAGTGCATCGCAAACTACACATAATCCATTCGCAATTGCACACGTGGTAACATCTGGAGATTGTAAAAGTCAAAAACCTGGAGACTGCACTGCTGTCACTTAGATCCTGTGTAAAATATAACAATAACGACAACAGTACTAATAATACTAACAATAACCATAATAATACTACTACTAATAATAATAGCCACAACAATACTATTACTAACAATAAGCATAATAATACTACTACTAATAATAACCACAATAATACTATTAATAACAATAACCATAATAATACTACTAATAATAACCACAATAATACTAATAACAATAATAATAACAATAATATTACTACTAATAGTAACCATAATAATAATACTAATGATAACCATAATAACAATAATACTACTAATAACAATAATAATGAAAATAATACTAATAACAGTACTAATAACAATACTAATAACAATAATAATGAAAATAATACTAATAACAATACTAATAACAATAACAATGAAAATAGTACTAATAACAATACTAATAACAAGAGCGATAATGAAAACAATACTACCGATAATAACAGTAACAACAACAGTAATAACCACAGTAACAGAGTAACAAAGCCACACGAGGCTGATCTGCAGCGCGCGGACCTGCACATCTCCCGGGAAGTAGATGACCCGCTGTGGGCTCTCGGGCCGCCGCCGCCCTCCCCCTCCCCCTCCGCCGCCGCTCACTCCCAGCACCAGGTCGTTCTTCCTCCCGGGCTCGGAGCCCGTCACCGCGCTCAGCCCGAACACCTCAAACCCGGGCTCTCGCCACAAGCAAACGGGCGGCGCCCAACCGGGCCTGGTCATGGCGGCGGCGGCGGGCGGGCGGCGGGCGGGCGGGCGGGTTGGCGGGGCGGCTTCGCGGGTTTTTCGGGCGGTTGTCGCCAACGAGGAGCAAACGCCGCACCGACTCAAGACGTGACCCGTCCGCAAACCCAACCCGGCGCTGAGGTGGAGGGGGGGGGGGGGGGGGGCGACAGCGCCTCCCGGCGGCCGCACTGGCGCACCTCAGGCAGAAAAAATGCTCAGAGAAATGCTCCCACTGGTGTGATGTGAAAAAAAATACTGCAACACGTTCCAGATGTTGGGAAATCCGAAACAATAATAATAATAATAATAATAATAATAATAATAACAACACTCAGCAGGTCTTCCCAGCCACTGCTGTTCTGGTTGAATGCTCCCAACACCTTTGTGTTGCCACCGAAGTCCATCCAACACTAATAATAATAATAATAATAATCCTTCCATTTGCCTCCTCCAGACGTCTCAAAGCGCTTCGCGGGACGGGCCGCGAAGTGGATCGATGGATAAGAGCGCACATTGCGTCCGCGAGACGCGGCAGCCGGCCGGCGGGCAGCCGGGAAGTGAGCCGTCGAGTTTACTCCGGATTGTTCGGAACCCCCCCCCCCCCACGCTCCCTTCGCCTCACCCCCTCACCTCCTTGGAGGCATGTCTCAAGACTCTCCTCTTCGACCGTGCCTTCGGCCGCCCTTCTGCCCTCCACTCTTCTTGATCCCAACCCCAACCCACACCCCCCCCCCCACCCCCGTCCTCCCAACGTGAAAGGCGCTCTATAAATGAAATCTTGTTGTTGTTGTTGTTGTTGTTGTTGTCTAGCGCCTTGGGACGTCCTCCTGATGTGAAAGACGCTATACAAGTGTAATTTTGTATTGCATTGTTGTCCGGAAATCCGGGAGAAACTCACTTCTCTTTCAAATAGTGCCATAGGATCTTTAACATCCACGTGAACAAAGCCCACCTCCTGGTCTGATAGCCTCCTCCGAATATTGCAGAACGTTTACACGCAGCCCAATCAGTCCTCCCAATAATTATAAGAGTAAACTAAAGTGGATCGTCCCCTCTGCTAGCTGATGTGAGCAAGGAAGGCAATTGGAGTGTTGCAATCCAAGCCATTTCGCCCACAAAAATGCAGTCAATTCACTTTACAGTATATTCTGTGAAGCGCTTTGAGACGTCTAGAAGGCGTGAAAAGCACAATATCGAATGCAAGGGTTATTATTATTAAGCTGACATTCTAACGACAGCACTGAGTGAGTGCTGCATTGCTTGAGTTGTATTCCTTCGGATGAGACGTTAAGCCAAGGCTCGGGCTACCTGTTCAAGTGTGTAACACTCCAATGGCCCTTTTGCTGGTTTCCTGACTGATCTTCTGTCACCCAAATTGTGCAAAGATTAGATGAATTGGTCGTTTATCGTGTTGTTTGTGGAACATTTCTGGTGCAAATTTGGGGTCTATTATAACAGTCACTACATTCGAAAGGATATATATTCAAAATACTCATTTGTACAAAGCATTTGAAAGTTACAACATGCTGTCAATTGGAAAGTACTATTTATTATAATTAGTCTCAGTGACTCCAGCTAGAGGGAAATAAAGTGATAATAATATCATAATATTTTTGTCTCAGGTGAGGACAGGATCATGTTCAACTACAATTACCCCCATGGCTGATTAGTCAAATCGTCTGCCATTAGTCAAAAATGTAAACTCCAATGACATGAGATAGGAACTAGTGTCCACAGAACCATAACTTAGTAACATTAGACACTTCTAAAGAGGAGGAGGAAAACCGTAATGCACAGTGCAATCAGTTTTAAAATATACCTTAGTCTGAAAAAAACCCAAATTAAAGACAGAAGCTTACCATCAGGACTCTTTTGTCAAACATCAGACAAGTTCAAAGAGCTATCATTATCATTAATATTCCTTTGCTTCGCTCTGACTATTTTGGGTTCAAACCACAATGGGGTTAAAGAAGCACTTGAGAGGAGGAGCCATGTAAATGTGACAGTGTTGAAGCTATAGAATTTAAATCTTTGAAGGTTATAATTTTAATGAGGGGTACAGAATTTGTCAGAATTTAAAGAAAGCCCGCTGCTAGTAATTTAACTCACGGATTTATTTTACAGCAACCTAGTAATGTTCAAAATATTTCTGTAGCAAATGTTGCTACCGATCGAAATTACTGGAACTATGAATTTCACATCTGGAATTAAATATAGTGTCTTCTTCTCAAATGGTAAGGTATGATTGAGCAGCAATAATAAACGTTCCCGTACTGTACCATAGCATTAAACACAGACTTCTTCATTTAAGGTCTTCAGCTTGCTCCTGGGCTTTAATCCACCAGACCTAAGCATGGTCGCCATAACATTGCAAGTTGCTTCACTAACCAGACAAGGTAATTTTTACTAGACAAACTGTATCTGGCACCAGATGAATGGCAAAAAATCATCCCAATGCGCACAAATGTGAAAAGAGAAATGAATGTCCTCTCTTTAGTTCTGTGTAAGTCGAAGCCCATAAACTCCCTTTAGTCATGTTATCGTGGTTGGTTGGAATCAGCAGGGTGCGCCAATCTCCAGTTATTTGTGCAGAGCTCATTTCATGTTGCTCTGATTGATTGACCCACAGCGAGGCACTGTTGAGTCTGTGGCTGGAGGGACTGCTCTCACCAGCATTTTCTTCCTCTCACAGATCGGCCAAGACTGGAGAGACTCTCTAACCATAGGATGTCCAAATGCAAATATAAATCAGGATTGGGATTTGAGTTTGGTTCTCACAGCTAAAGAGTTCAATCCTCTACTATTGCAATTACCAAAATAACCCTAAAAACATTTTGTGTAAATTATAATTTTTTAAAAAAACACATAAATTTATTAACTGCAATGATCCTTGCTTCCCACAATAAAATGATGTTTATTCCTTAAATAAATGTGTTTCCTTCTTATCCTATGTTTTTTTTCTCCGCTTTCCATTATCTTTTACTTTCTCTCTCCACAGGCCCCCTTGAACCGAGAGACTGAGCTAGTCAGGCCTGTAGGAAATTCTATGGCAGTGAACAATGCCAGGTAATCAGGGTAATCAGATGTGAATCTGAACTGTGATCTTTTATATGTCTTCACAATGCAGTGTTATTTCATAGTGAGACTGACTGCCTAGCCAAGAACTGAGAAACCTCACTCTCAAAGCAGCAAGCAACTCACTCAGAACGACAAACAACCTCCGCACTCAAACTCTGACAATCTGGGTAAACGGAAAAGCTCTACTCCTTTGATGACAGCTCACTGAACATACCTTATACTGTAGTAATACATTACAGTAGTCAATGCAACCATTACATCTTTAAATGTACAGTAATCTATTTGTAATAATAATCTTTATGTTTGGTGTAACGCCTTTTAAGAGAATGCCCAAAGCACTTCATAGGATTTACTGTAAAGAACAGTGACTATTTTTTTGATGTGTGGGCAAACGGTTATACATATGCAACCAAGCACATTCATTGAGAAAATTGGATCATAGGCAGTCTTGAGTTAGTGTTTTAGTAATAGCTCAATCGCCATTGTAGAACTGCACATATTTCTCGTCACCACGACAATAAGTCCTAGAGGAGAGCAATGTAACTGATCCCCAATTTTAGAGGTATGAGCTATGAGAAACAACTAGACAGGCTCAACATTTTTCAACGTCTCTGAGGGAACTTTATAGAGATATATATATAGGATACTTAATGGGCCAAAGAAAATAAATTCCAAACTTTCAGTTACAACAAGGCAACAGGACAAGACGGCACAGGTTCAGGGTTATGATGGACAAGTTTATGACAAACACCCAGAAGAATTTCTTCAACAGAGTTTTAATCAACAGCTGGAATAGTTTACCAGGAAGCATCGTAGAGGCCAGGACACTGGATATTTAAGAAACGGCAGGTTGGCACAGTGGAAAGAGGGTTGGATGGGTATTCTGCAAGGATCAGCTGAAATGAGTCAAAAGGCCTTCTTCAACTGAACATTTGGTGATCCTGAGCTACTGGTGAATGTGCTAATGGTTATAACACGATCACCAGTAATAACATAATAATGATGTTTGGTCTGATTACAGCAAGAGAGATGATATGTGGTTTTATGATACGCTGTAGAACCATAGCAAACTATTTAGGATAATGTTTAAATTCCATATTTCACTAATCACAATGACAAGTTCATTTTCTTTGTTCCTGCCGCTAGTTACTTTTTTTGCAGGATAAAACAAAACAGCATTTGAACTGTACAGCTGCTGAAAATAAAAATAAATGCTTTGATTTAAATGAAATTGGTTTGTTTGATGGCTTTTCCTAACTGTGGGTTTCAGTTGGTAGCCAAAGAAAATTAGCTTGAAAAAGAGACACAGTACAACATTTACATCTGCACCTCATGGGTATTTTAAAAGAATAATTTATTTATTTATGTATGTATTTAATTATCTTGCAGTGAAACTGTAAAATTTAAAGGTTTTAACTCCTGCTTCATGTAGCTTACTTACCTAGAGGTAAGTAGGAACCCAGTTGTTAGTCGATTGGCGGATTGCTTTTCTGGGGGTCATAATCCCTTCAAAAAAAATAATAATTTGGTCACTCAATCCATGACTGTTTGTGGGACACTGCTGTGTGCAGTTGGCTGCCGTGTTTCACCCACAAAATATACAGTCAATTCACTTTACAGTATATTCTGTGAAGCGCTTTGAGACGTCTTGAAGATGTGATAAGGCACTATATCAAATGCAAGGATTATTATTATTATTATTATGAAGTGTTCATTTGTTTTACCAGATGGGGGAGCACTTTGGTACATTTTGTCCTGTTCTGTTTGCCATATCGAGCCCTGTGTTCTGTGTGATCCAAGGTCCAGAGATCATAAACATTTGAGCTCCAGTAAGTGATCGACCTCCCTGAATGTGTAGGTAACAACAACAACGTATATTTGTATAGCGCCTTTCACGTCGGGAAGGCGTCCCAAGGCGCTGGACAGACAGAATTACGGACCCGAGCTGGGGGTCGGGGTTGGGGAGGGTAGAGGGCAGGGGGGGAAGCAGGGAGATTGAAAGCACGGTCAAAAGGGGAGGGTCTTGAGATGGGTCTTGAAGGTGGCGAGGGAGGGGGTGAGACGGAGGGACTGCGAAATGGAGTTCCAGAGGGTGGGGGCAGAGTGGCGGAAGGACTGCCCGCCGATAGTAGGTCGAGCGAGGCGGGGGAGGTGAAGCAGGCCAGAGCCCGCTGAGCGGAGGGAACAAACAGGGTGGTTGGGGGTTAGGAGATCTCAGTGGTAGGGGGGAGCAAGACCATGGAGAGCTTTGAAGGTGAGGACCAAGATCTTGAACGGTATCCTCTGTGTGAGGGGAAGCCAGTGGAGTTGGGCGAGGATGGGGGTGATAGGGTCACAGATCCTGGTGTGGGAGAGGACACGGGCTGCAGAGTTCTGGATGATCTGCAGCCAATAGAGGGAGGAGTTGGGGAGGCCGACAAGCAGGGAGTTTGCATAGTCGAGCCTCGATGTAATGAAGGCATATATGAAGGTTTTGGTGGCCTGTGGTGTGAGACGGTGTCGGAGCCGGGTGACGTTGTGGAGGTGGGGGAAGGCAGAGAGGGTCATGGCGCAGATGTGGGGTAGGAAGGATAGTTGAGGGTTGAACAAGACCCCAAGGTTCCGGATTGGCTTAGCATGGTGGAGTGTGCAACCGTGGATGGTGATACTGGGGTTTTTAATCTAGCAACAACAATAACAACAAAAAACACTACCTTCAAATTAAACAAAAATGTATGTAAAGTCACTGTGTGAAGGCAGGAGTTAGAGATCAACCAGGTGTCAAGAGACACACACGAGCGCTCAGAGGTTCTGCTTTCTTTACCGTACTTTAGGAGCTGGGCTGGGCTGTGCTGGGCAATGCTGGGCTGTGCTGGGCAATGTTGGGCTGTGCTGGGCAATGCTGGGCTGTGCTGAGCAATGCTGGGCTGTGCTTGGCAATGCTGGGCTGTGCTGAGCAATGCTGGGCTGTGCTTGGCAATGCCGGGCTGTGCTGAGCAATGCTGGGCTGTGCTGGGCAATGCTGGGCTGTGCTGGGCAATGCCGGGCTTGTGCTGAGCAATGCTGGGCTGTGCTGGGCAATGCTGGGCTGTGCTGAGCAATGCTGGCTGTGCTTGGCAATGCTGGGCTGTGCTGAGCAATGCTGGGCTGTGCTTGGCAATGCTGGGTTGTGCTGAGCAATGCCGGGCTGTGCTGAGCAATGCTGGGCTGTGCTGGGCAATGCTGGGCTGTGCTGGGCAATGCCGGGCTGTGCTGGGCAATGCTGGGCTGTGCTTGGCAATGCTGGGTTGTGCTGGGCAATGCCGGGCTGTGCTGAGCAATGTGGGCTGTGCTGGGCAATGCTGGGCTGTGCTGAGCAATGCTGGGCTGTGCTGAGCAATGCTGGGCTGTGCGGGTATTGCTGTGCTGTGCTGGGCAATGCTGGGCTGTGCTGGGCTGTGCTGGGCTGTGCTGGGCAATGCTGGGCTGTGCTGGGCTGTGCTGGGCAATGAAAGACTACACTGTCTTGTGCTGCAGAATGATATATTTCTGCCTTCCGTGCACTATCTTGCTTATCTCCCCAAATCAGCAAAGAAGTTTAAATTAGTGTTTAAGCAACAGATTGTTAAAAAACAGTTGATTGTATAAGCAAGATTCTCATGTGACGGGCTATGGCAAATAGATGTGCCTGCCATGAAGCCGACCAACTCAGATTGAGCCGTTTATCAATCTCACAAGTCTTCCCTGAATCCAGACTTTCCTTTTGGCTTCAATTGAATCCAAGGAAAACTGCACCAAGCTGCCATGATGCTGGGTACTTCTTAATGACATCATCGAATTCCAGAGTTTATTAACTTGATTAACTTTTCAAGCAGGAAACCAAGAACAAAGAGTTTCACAGTCTCCTCTGATGATAATATTAAAGATGGACTGTTTCTTTCCAAAGGTCAATTGTAAATTAATCTGGAGATCCTTGTGTACTCATAACAGTAACCATCCCAAATAATAGGGCTCACATGTCATCATTTAATTCATTGTTGTGACAAAAATAGAACCTTAAAGGGACTTTGTTACCTTTTATACATTTGTAAGCAGAGTAGGGCACCCTGACTATAAAAGTGATTTCTGTATGGCTACAGTAAAACTTTTAATATGGCACAGAATGTCTACAAATAATTAAATAATTTAAAATAGAGAGCATTTACGTGCAGTTCTCTGCTTCTCTTAAATGGAGACAGATGTTTGGAGCACAGGCAGGTTCAATATGGTATAAATTCCATAAGACAAAGAAGTTGAATATAACGTGAAATGCCGGTGTTTAATGTTGTGTGAAGAGAATGTACTCACAAGATCACAGGATTAGTACAGAATGAAGAAGGTCCTTCAGCCTATCTGATCTCATCCCTCCAGAACACCCAGCCTGTATTTTTCAAAATGGGACCAGTATCCTGGCTTCAACCACCCTTCCCTACAACTTGTTGCAGTCATTAATTACCCTCTGTGGAAAGAAAAACTTCCTGATGTTTGTCTACAAATTGACCCATGCAACTGCGAGCAGATTCTCTCTTGATTAACGTTATTGCATTGGAGAGGAGGGCAGAGGTAATTAAGCATTCGAACAGGAAGCAATGTTTTTGATTTTACAAATGTGCTTTTCTCCGCAGAATAAAAGATGGCGTCCTCAAGACTGGCTCTCCGTTTGGCTGCGTGTTTGCTGAATATTTCTGAAGCCAGGAACCAATGCATTGTAGAAAAGGTGGCACAGGCAGCCGTTGGTAATAAGCAAGGTACATTTCAAACAACAAAAAAATTCTTGCATTTTTGAATTATTGAAATCATTCATGAGGTATTTTTATGTTTTGATTGCAGGTCAGATGGAAACTCAAGCAACTGTGCTTAACATTTTTTCAGATTATGATTATAACAGATCAGTCCTGACAATCGTGGCTCCCATTGAGACATTAGGTACGATTTCACTCTCAATATCTTTTGGTATTAAACTCAGCATAAGTTACAAGCCCAGGACAAGAGGCAATCAATTCATTCAGTTTGCAGGTATCAGCCTGGCTCAGTTGCTAGCGCTCTCACCTCTGAATCAGAATGCTGTGAGTTCAAGACCCTCATCGGGGCTTTAGGCTGACTCTCCAGAGCAGTGCTGGGGGTGTATTGCATTATCTGAGGTGCTGTCTTCAGATGAAACTGCGTATGAGTGTCCGCCTAGACTATATGAGTTCCAAGTCTTGACGTGGGACGTTATCAATATTTCTTTAGATTGTGCATCAGCATTTTCTGGTTTTGAATCGTGCACAATAGGATTGGCCAAGTTAAGGCTACTTTCATTTTTCAGGGTGTGCCATTGTTGCAGCGTGTACTGAAGCCTACAAGCTCATTGACATGGAAAAGCACAGTGGCATTCACCCGTGCCTTGGGGCTGTGGATCTGGTCCCCATCTACCCTCTCTCTGAATCTGTTGGCTTGGGGGAGTGCGCCAAGGTGGCTCACGGTAGGTTTCACCTTTAAGAGGTTTTCAGTAGCACTGTGAGTGAAACCTGAACTCACCTCTTGCCTAGTTCTGTCTAAGCACAAACTCTTGAAGTCGTGCTCCTGATGCAAAGCTGTGACCCTATCCTATCCTATGTATCGAGGAGCCATGCTTCTTCTAAGGTCCACACGTCCCTGGGAGAGGCAGCCAGCAGACTCGACCATTCCTCACCAGTTTACCAGTTGTACATCAGCCAATGACTATGCAGTTGAAGTGAAAATTAGCCCCTCATATGGCCTAACTCATGGGAATCCCGTAGTATAGTGGGCAGCATGCTCGCCTTGCAGGCAAGAGGACCCGGGTTCCATTCCCCGGCAGGGCGAAATCTTAGGCAAGTTTCCTTAGTCCAGTATTAAAATAATTTGCTGAATTTTCACATGTTATAGTTTTGGACAGTGTAGAGCAGGATTGGCCAAGTTAAGGCTATTTTTCTGTAGGAACCCAGTTGTTAGTCGATTGGTGGATCGCTTTCCAGAGGTAATAATACCTCGCCCTCCCAGAAAAAGTGTGGTCACTCAATCCATGACTGTTTGTGGGACACTGCAGTGCCCCCAAAATACAGTCAATCCACTTTACAATATGTTCTGTGAAGTGCTTTGAGATGTCCCAACGAAGTGATAAGGTGCTATATCAAATACAAGGATTATTGTTGTATTACATTAATATTATTCCTCACCGGCTTACCAGTTATCCATCAGCCAATGGATATACAGTAGAAGTGAAAGCAAAGCTCTCTTGTTAGCCAGCTGACTGTGCTTTGTACGTCTCTGTACAGGACCTGCTCAGGCCACTATCAGAGTGAGTGAGGAATTGTCAGCACACAGCACACATGGTCGAGCCTGCTGGCCGACTCTCTCAGGAACATTCTTTAGAAGATGTTTGGCCCCTTAATACAGTCAAAGTAAAAACAAATCCAAATAAAAATAATTAATTGGTCACTCAATCCACGACTGTCTGTGGGACACTGCTTTGCGCAACTGGCTGCCGCATTTCACCCATAAAAAATATGCAGTCAATTCACTTTACAGTATGGAGTCCTGCAGCTCAGTGGTTAGAGCACTCGCCTTGCAAGCGAGACACCTGGGTTCAATTCCAGGCAGGACGAAACCTTGGGCAAGTTTCCTTACTCCACCACCTGATAGTAATCCCCCCCAAAACAAAAACAGTAATAAATTGGTCATTTCAATCCATGACTGTTTGTGGGACACTGCTGTGCGCAATTGGCTGCCGCGTTTCGTCCACAAATATATGGTCAATTCACTTTACAGTCTATTCTGTGAAGCGCTTTGAGACATCGAGAAGACGTGAAAAGCGCTATATCAAATGCAAGGATTATTATTATTATTCTGTATAAGTGCTTTGAGAGGTCTCGAAGATGTGATAAGGCACTGTAATAAATGCAAAAATTATTATTATAAATCAGTTAACCATCTGTTGAAGTAAATCTGGTTGTGTGCTGTACTTACTGCAGATTTTAACATAAAATTCCTCCCGATGTGAAAGGTGTGTGTTTTTTAACTTGAAATAATAAGCAATTGGTTAGTTTCAGAGCATGAGGAAGACTGGAATAACCTCAGTGTGTGTACATGTAAATATGTATAAACTTTAAGATAATTTATATATAAGTAAGAATTATAAACGACTTCAGTACCAACAACAAATGAAAGCGTCTTTCATGTCGAGAGGAATTTTATAATAAAATAATAATCCTTGCATCTGATATATGGTCGTGTCAAGTTGTTGACACGTGTCAAGTTGTTGAGACGCCTCAAAGCACCTCACAGCATATACTGTAAAGTGGATCAACTGTGTATTTTGTGGGCAAAATGCCGCAGCCAGTTGTGGCACACGGAACAGATTTGCTTCAACAGAACGTTAACTGACTTAATTTTACTTTGATTGTATGGAGGAGCCATGCATCTTGTAAGGAAGGTTCCTGGGAGGGTTCAGCCAGCAGCCTCGACCATTCTCCTGCGCTGACATTTCCTCACTCATTGCCCTTCACCTCCTCAATGCAGGTGTTGCCGAGAGGTTAACCCACGCTGTACCAGAGTGCAGCATGTTTTATTTCGGATATGCCGATCAGCCTCTCAAACGGAGTCTTGTCCAGCGCAGGAAAGAGTCCGGGTGGTTCAGGAAGAGCAGCTCGAACATGGATGGAATAAAACCAGATGTAGGAACTGTGATTTCTCCAAGATACGGTTTAACAGGTTTGTGCTTTGAGCAAGGACTTTAACTTGTCGTCCCCCCACCTTCACTTTAGTGCATAATTAATGGACCTTTTGTTTAAGAGTTCAAATTGCATTGAGACTGTCCCAAGATTTCACATGTGACCTTCACGGCCTACAGACAAGAGAATGTTTTGTCCCCATCAACTTGCAACCAGGTTTGTGTCAACCTGAGTTCAAAATCCAGGTTTAGCACCTGTCATTCCTTTCACATTGACAAATAGAGTTACTTGAGACAAATGTTTGTTTCCTTGTATCTAACGTGCAAATTCATATTAATACCTTCCCCCTTCCCATTAATATTGTGCAGAAGAACCCATCAAGGTTGTCATTAGGGCACAGGACTACTTTATGTCATTAGATTGGACAACTTAACCCATTTGTCTCTAGACACAGCACTGTTGAAATAGCCATGACCATGAGAGAAGAATGACACCTGGTTCATTGCAGTTTTAAAAAGAAATCACTTGTTATTCCAGGGATTGGTGCCTCTGCTTATGTCATGAACTGTAATGTGACAATAAACACCCAGGACCTCGCAATCGGGCAGCGGATTGCCAGAGCCATCCGTGGAGCAAGCGTGGGTGGTCTTCAGGGTATCCAGGCTATGGCCTTTCCCCATGGAGGGAGGGTGGAAATAGCTTGCAATGTGGAGAGCCTTAAAGAAAAGGAGCATTCGTTGCTGGCAACACACGAGCGGGAAAGCAGGAGTCATGTTTCCTATCGGATTCAAGGGGAAAGTTATCAGTACGTATCTCCCAGTACTATCGAGAGACAGATTAAAAAGATGGCTGACAGCCAGGGAGTCACAACAGTTGGTACAGCATTAGTAGGCTTCACGCCTGAGCGCTGCAAAAGCTTGGCAGAACAGGCTATACTTCAAGGGACTGGCATGTTCTGGAAAGAACACAAGATGCGTAAAATGTGAAGGAAGCATGGGTGTGTGATTAATGTTAATAAGCAATCATGTTTAAAATAACCATGTGTCCTGAACAGCAGTATCCTAGCCACTCAGGTATGAGTGTTTTGAGTATTACCATCAAATTTCGAGAATCACTGACCTGCTTTTGACAAGCGGGTATGAAATGGAATGGATTCTCGCACGTGTACAGCAATTGATCAGGCAGGATGTCCCACAGAGTGAAAGAGAGGTTAGTTCCTCTGCCAGGCCACAGAGAGGTGTAAGAGAATAGTCCAGGGTGACTGACCCTCCACTTGGTGCTTAGTCAGGCATATTGGGAAGGAGTTTGCAAACTGTGGCTTTTGGGTATCAGTGCGCTATGCTGTTGGAGCAGTGAAGAATTCTTTTAACATTTTAAAGTAACTTGTAACTGAGACGATCATCTATCCTTGTCAAATTGTTCACCCTGGAATTTCAAACTGATGTGAAAGAAAAGTTACCGGTACCTGCGGACAAATGCTGCATTCACATTGTTTAATTGTAGGACTGTCACAGGCTAGTACAATAAGAGTGGCTGTGATTTTCAAAGCATCAATTCATCGCCTTGTTAACCTATTCTGTGGATCTGAGCACCTGTCATTGCTTTGACAGATAGAGTCACTTGGGACAAATGTTTGTTTCCTTCCAACGTGCAAATTCGTATTAATACCTTTCTCCCTTCCATTATTATTGTGCAGAAGAACTCATCAAGATTGTCATTAGGACACAGGACTACTTTATGTCATTAGATTGGACAATTAAGCCATCAGCTGTAGGTTCTAGACACAGCACTGTGCAAATTATGCATTTCTGATACCACCAGAAAAGAAGTCACGCAAGCTGCTTAATTGTTGAATAGTCAAAGTTAAGAGGTAGATATTGTAGAAAGAAATGTGGATTAATAAACACCCTTTGCCTTATTCTTCTGTTAATAACCTGTCTATTCTTCTGTTGTTCACCTTCAAATATACATTCAATATACTGTACCTTTAAATTCCTGCAAAGCATTTTGAGACATTTTAATGACACAATGAAGCACTATATTAAATGCAAGGCTTATTATTATTATTATTATTATATTCTGTTGGATAGCGGTTCTGACTTCATACTTCATTGTGACTTGCAGGGAGCAGTGAAATCTTTATTTTATTCTCCATTACTTTCCATGAAAAAAAATCACCCAATTAATTGAACGTACTTATGTTATTTGCAGACCTGGACCTTTCAGTTCAATCCTACCTGATTATTTCTGTATTTCCTGCTCTAACAATCCAAATAGAAATAAAGCAAACGAAAAATGTACTGCTGTGTTCGCTGTGTTTTTGTCTGTTTTCTTTGTTTTCCACAGAAACTGTATATGGAAAAATAAAATAATAATAATAATTCAGAGGGAGTTTGTGGTGAGCTGCTGATGCGTCAAACATTCTTCAAGGGATTTGAAGCCAAATGCTGTACATCTCAATGTGAAAATTCTATAACCCTGCTGTTTTCACATTTATTACCATTTCCTACATTAATATTTCTCCGTCAACAAAGCATTACTTTCAACTTTCTTTAACATACACTTATGTCCTGCTGCCCTTCTGCACATTGGTCCTGTCTCTATCAGTGGATGGATGCAGTTTGTTGAAAGTCACAGCAACTCTTTATAAAATCTGACTTGTATTCATGGCTCAGTCAGTGTTGCAATGAATTTTTTCATGTGGATGGACTAGTGATTAGACCGCCCTCCTCCTCACCACCACTGGCTAAATGTCAGGTTAAACCAGGAAAGATCAATACTCGGAACACACAATCAAATGGAATAATTTAGTCTGATAAACGCTCCTTCCAATTTTTTAAAGTATATTTTTTCTTTATGTATACTACTGTGCTATTTTGTAACGTTCCCTGAATACATGGTCGAAGAAATATTTTTATCTTGGCATGCTTATAATTTCGTCCTGATTTAGTATGTAAATTAATATGTGCTTGTTCTTGTTTCTACTGCAGTGTTTGCTTTCAGTTTAGTTCATAATATGTGATTGATCGTACCCAACTCCTCTCTTACTTCTGAAAATGGGGTTAGTAAAATGACTTGGAAATCAGCAGCTATATCCTGGACTACAAGGTGTAAAACTAGTGAAACATTCCCAGTTTAGGGCTGGAGGTTGATTTTAATTTTTTTTAAAAATGCCACACCCAACCATCATCCACACTGGAATATTAAGGCTCTTTTCTTGTGGATTTGAAATATAACCCACAACAGGATAGCTCTGTGCATTCATAAAATATGCTATTCATTAGCAATGATTACCAGTTATAATGTTTATACATTAGTCTGTTAGTTTGAAAACTGCTTTTTTTTGTTATTGGAACAAATTATTCTCAACAATATTTATTGGGATACCTATTTTTCTGTATATTTTTCAATTTTTGTTTCTGCGTCCTGCGTGTTCTGGTAACATAGGACTATTTCACACACACAAATGTACACAGTATACAACCCTTATTTTAAAAGAAGCTTTATTAATATTAACAATTCTTGGAATTAATATAACATCTTTTGCATCAGGAGACTGCCTTACAGAGCTTCATGAGACTTCTTGCATAAATCAAGATGTTGGGAATGGAATCACTTTATTGCTAACAACTACCAATAGATCAGGTATAACATAGTAACTAGATACCTCTCGCTATTCTGCCAAGAAATGAGACTTAACCCTAACTTTCTAAAAGCACCTCCTGCCACTAACCCGCGGTTAAGTTTCCATATTGCACACCCAGTGATTCCTTTGGACTCTTATCATGCGAGAGACTGCCAATACGAGCTAAAAAATCTGAGATTGCCTAAATTCAATTCACACAGGACACATGTACCTGGCAGAGACAAGAAACATTCGTCCCAACAATCTGAGCTGGGTTTAAACCCATATCCCACATGTGACAAAACAGTGCACTAACCCACTGTACCATCCAATTCCCCCCAGATGTAGTTGCTTTAGGCTGTCCAAATATATCATGTTTGAAAACCCCAGTCTGATGAACTTCATTAAATTTAGCATAAGATCTGGCATCTGATAACATTTTTGAGACTGCTAGGAGGAAGTATACATTACTAAGTAAACAGTTGCTACCAATGTCTTATGGGGCCCCACTCTGCTGTGCCAGGTTTTAACATTGTGACATTAGCCCAAAACTGCTTTCCCTGTCTCATCGATAGTATTAGCTCTTATGCAAGGACTAGTTTAACATTTTTACTTGCCATTCTGTAAGTTGAATTTTAGACCATATTGTTGGGCACAGGGAAGGCTTGGGATTGCAAAGTAAATGAATATGGACTAAAGAATAACCAAGGGAGTCACGACAAGAAGATACTGAGACTTTTCTCTCTTTCCATTAGAAACAATCCTACGTCAAAGATCCTAGGTGTGGGGGGTTGGGCTCAGACACTGGCTTTTGCTCTGGAGATGTGAACGTTCACTATATGCACCACAGAGAAATGATAGACTCTTTGCTGATATCACTTCGGAGCTGAGCCACAATTTCATTTCTTGTGAATGTTGGAAGACAAACTACCATTAAGTTGCCTAGAATTGGACAACTATTCTGGACAATACCTGTTTCATCAGTCTTAAGATTCAAATCATGGAAAATGCAAACAACAGCAATATAAGAAGGTAAGGTACAGCACGGTTTATAAGAGGTACGTGCTTCATCGCAGGCAATATGCTTGATTTATGAGGAAGAGGTACAATGCTTTCACTGCTTTTCTACTTAATTGTAATGCTGGAGCAAGGAATGAACGAAAGCCAGCTTCTCATTCACCTATACAATGTTTTCTGCTCTTAATGATATCACCTTGTCTACCAATGTACATTGCCAAATCAGAGGAGCCTGCAGTGAGACATACAGAAAGTGTACAGTTCATGATGAATCAACACTCATGAGTTTTGCTGTGTGTACTGTAATTCTAGAGCTGAATGATAGAATTGCAGCACACAGTGGGACCATATCTCGTTTTCCAATGCATTTCTTGAAATATTTTAAATATGACCACAAACATAAAGTACTAATCATCTTTCACTAATTCCTAGAAAAATTAATAGGCTTATACTGGAGGTAGCTTTTTGTTTGAGATTTCTTCCTTTTACATTTTAGCTAATAAGGTAATGAGATCTCCCTTCATCTTGAGCTAGTTATAAAGAAACGTACATTTGAAAAGAACCTTTTAACTTGATCCTTGAAATGATTGTCATAGCAATTACCATTATGCAATGGTTTGTTTCACATAGCTGCTGTAAACATTAATTTTCTGCGTTCGTTGCTGGAGCCCTGTTAATATCTGTCTGTTCTGCAGGCCAGCTTTCCCTATTCAGTCCTTCAATAGTCTCAGATATTGCCTAGTTTTGTTCTGTCCCACAAATACATAGTCTCACAGTTGAGGAATGTCCTCCGTGGGTCAGGCAGCTTCTTGTGGTTGATAAGCAACAGAATAGGAAACTGTAGCAAAATGTACAACCTGCACAATTTATTTCTTATTAACTTTTTTCCTTTTCTCGCCACTTCATTAACATTGATGCTGCTGCAAACAGATTCTCTGTGATATCTATTCCGTTGCTCTATTCCACATTCATTCATCTCTCAAACACCCCTGCTTCATAACACACATTCGCCTGCAAAATATACAGACAATAATTTTACAATAAATCCTGTGAAGCTCTTTGGGACGTCCTCCCAACGTGAAAGGCGCTATATCAAAAGCAATGATTATTATCACTTTATAGAAAGATCCAGTGTAGAGCACAAACCAAAGCACGTGGTGAAATATGGAACGCACCTTTTTGACAGGACATATGTGCGCCAATCCATCATGAGAGTACAAGTGTGTGCAATAAATCTAACTTGTGTTAGCTGGAACTCATTTTAAGACAGCACAAAAAAACAGCGAGCACATGTTTCTTGTTTAGTTTAAAATTCCAATGATAACGATTTAACTCTGAAACCGTTGACCAAAATTATCATTTTGTTTTCTTGGGGTGGAGAGTTGAAACTGAGAGAAATGATGCAAATATTTGGAAATATGTAATGGGAGAGGGTTAGGGAGAACAAAGCAAAGCTTGTGTCAGAAACATGCAACCATCTCTGGAATATAGCTCTTGAGAAATAAGATATACGCACTTAATGTTCCTGAATGAAAGAACTTGCATTTTTATAGAACCTTATCACATTAAAACATCTCTAAGCATTTGTCAGGTAACTGCAATCAATTGTAGTGGCTATTTATAGTCAATATAGTAGCCGTTTGTAGCAGTGAGATCTCACAAACAGCTATGACGTGAATGATGAATTAATCTGGTGCAATGCTGGTCTAGAGACAAGCCTTTCTCTTTCTGAATAGCGCCATAGGATCTTTATCATATATCAGGCAAATGGGACCTCGTGTTAATGTCCCATGCAAAAGGCAACACTTCCAACAATACAGCACTGTCCCAGCACTGCATTGGATTGTTATCTCAGATAATAAGATCAAATCCTGATGCAGGGCTTCAAACACAACCTTCTGACCCAGAGGCGAGAGTGCTACTCACTGAGCACTGAGCTTCACAATGCTACATCCTGACAGACTGAAGAGTTTATCAACAATCCCATCTTTTGACAGTGAAAACGAATATCTCATTAAATCAAGATATTTTGATCGTTTCATTAACATGGTGTTTCGTGAAACTTCTCCACTACAGAGGGAGACCACAACACAGTGGAGGATGCAGCATGGAGTGTCAATCGTTGTATATACATGTGGTTTAACATTGTGATGAAAATAGGATTTGGGTGCTTGAATGCAAACCAGGCATTATTCTGCCCAGCTGTCAAACCAACTTTGCATTTACACTGAAAAAACAGAGAGAGATTGCCCCCTCAGTCTGTGAAGGGGAACAATAATGCAATCTGACTTTTCCCGTCTGCTGCAGATGCAGTTTTACAGCTCTCTCCAGATTGAATATCTCTCTGTGTGCAAAGTGTGAAATAAAACAATGATTTCACACGGTAACTTAAAACCTTAGGGCTAAATATGCACTGAACATGTGGGCTGGTTTCTGGCATACCATCTCCAGCTGAGCAAAGCAGCTGGTGTCAGACACTGCAGGCATCTCATCCGAGCTTTGGAGACAGGGTCTGTGCCATTTACCTTCATAATCTGTACCCAGGAAGCCTCGCTTCCTGCTGAACAAGATTTAAATTTGTCAAATCTTTGTGTTGTCTTACTCTGGTGGCTTAGATAAAAGGCAATGTTTAAAATCATGAAGGTAGTATTTCAAATG